AACTTCACAGATGGCGTGACAAGCCAGTTCGCACCGCACGGCGGTCAGACCAGAACTGAAGCATTGTTAGGGACATAAGGAAGGGGTCCTGCGCTTACCTGGCCTCCCCACTCCTCTTTCTCGCATTCCAGAACACTTTTATACGAACTTTCCGGACAGACCTCGTATACAAGTATTCAATAGGGCAGGGGTTCCCAAACTTATTTTGTCTATTGCCCACTTTGAGAATAGATTATTTTTTTCTTGTTTATTTATGTATTATTATTATATCATTTCAAATGTATTTTAACTTTCGAGTACTTAAATGATAAAATTGTACAAGAACCGGACTGTAAATGGCAATAAATATGGACTAATTTAATTAGCCACTCACTGGCTACTACGATACAGGCCTGCGAGCCTAGTGTAGTAATCACTGTATAATAAATTGTGTACCCGTTCTTTAATTAAAATAAAGTTATTATTATTATTTATTCCCATTTTTTCACCTACTTAAAATCCACTATTACTTCAAATTAAATTAATCATTTATTGTGAGCTATATTAGCGGAGATTAAACATTAATTCTAAACGAGCTTCTACACAACGCCCCCATTTTTTTTCTGGGTCTCTTACCAACCCCCTTTAGGCCTGCATCGCCCACAAGGGGGCGTTATCGCCCACTTTGGGAAAGGCTATAGGAGAAAGGGGTAGTAATGGGTTCTAACAGTCCTATTACTAGCTATGTACGCTATCACGTCATGTGATCATGTTAATATTCACGCGGTTCGCGTTAGAAACCAACGTGGTCAATTATTGTTGAATTAGTCACGTTGGCCAACTGACCTGCTTTCATCCTCACCTATCACCCCTTACTAGTGCCCCGCTAGTGTATACCGAATACCAATGTGTGATGGGCTTTTATTTCATTTTCACTTATTCAAAAAATATATTCTATGGAATGGATAGATTCGGGGGGAAAGGAATTGTTAGTAATGGAGACTGAGAATCTCATTGCTAGCAATATACCTAACCAGGTCGACCTCCTCGCGGTTCCGCCTGGAAACTATCTTGGTTAATTCCTGATGAATTATGATAATGGGCTAACTGGCCTGTTTTCATTCTCATCTATCACCCTTCACTGGTGCTCCGCCAGCGTATCCCGTTAGCGCAGGCGGGGTTTACATACCATTTTCACCCATCGAAAAAAAAGGATGGGTAGATTCATAGTTTTATATATGTTCTAAGTTTAGACTCCGTGTAAGAGGCGACTAAGAGAGGTCGAGGGATGGGCAGCAGCGTCCTTCTTAAAATATCTCGAAAGTCTAACTGCGGTTGCCAATCCGCCTACCAAGCGTAGCAAATACTGGTAACATACCCAAGGGGGAAGCTTATATTCAGCAGTGGACAATTAAAGGCTGGTATGATGATGATAAACATTTTGGATTTAACCTGTAGTCAACTTATTATTTAAAGAAAATATCTGACACAGAAAAAAAAAGCAGAAATGACTCGCAGTACTTTAATATAATACTGAGCAGTCGTACCATCTTTATTAGATTTTCCACAGAATACCGGTACAACAGAGACTTTCATGTTCTCTATAACTTTGCCGTGTTCTCGTTACTTACTATAGAAATACACAAAACACGGTAAGCAAAAAAGATGTGCCGCCTGACCGGGCGCGGCTTTCATTACATCTGAACGGGTAGCGTTAGCAAGAAAAATAACAACAACAATTTGTTTAATAAAAAATTTTATGCCCTAATGGAAAATGGTAATTGTTGCCTCTGTATATAAATAGTACCGTATACATAACAGACTATAACATGGCGCTCATATTGACTGTCATTCGTTGTCATTTCAAAGTCTTCAGATATATTTGTTTATCTCTGTACCCTATAATTTTACTGGCGTATCCCATTCTTCTAATCAAAGTACAGCATTTACGTAAACTCAACTAGATGGTAGATACATCAATGGGATGGAGCTATCGCATGTAGTTATCTTTTATATAGAGGATCTGTTTGACATAGAGTATCGATAGAATTAAAGCAATAGAATTAAACTGTGCTTTAGTTTGTACGGTGAAATATAACAATGAAATAACAGGGTATCATAGACAACACAGTATACTTTCTTATAATAATAATATTCTTATCAGGTACTTAACCTATAGAGGTACAATTGTATTACAACGTACTGGGATAACATATAAAAATATAACAATGAAAACAAACAAAAAAAAAACAAAAATTAAAATATGTAGAAAATTTATAAAAAGTAAAGTAAATAATACAGCAAACACAGTTATTAGATAAAAATAAGAGAATATTATTTAATGTTCCTGCCTTGGTGCACGGACAACCAATACTTTTGAATGGGACTGTTCAGACACTGGGACAATGTGTATACTTTGTTATGTCCATTCAGTTCGTCCAGACAGTTTTCCATTTACCATCAGCTGGCCCGTAAACTTATTTGTCATTTTAAGTTGCATAAAAAAGTGGTTTAATTCTTTTGATTTTATAAAATTTCTTACTTAAACTTATTTTGATCAACTTGTGAGATATTTGACTACAACTATAAAAACACTCAACTCACAGCCACTCATATTAAAAGTCTTACTTTGAAGTCGCATACGAATATTAATATCCGCTACCTACAAACAGTATCACGTTAAACCTGCTAAAATATATTTTCTTTTAACACAACAACTTTTATTGACTATTTCACGGACCATACTTTATTTACACTTGGAAACCTTATTGCTCTGTAGGGCTGCCACTAATAAATAGACTCAATTGTATTTGTCTACAGTCCCACATTGTATTTGTTTAGTTTAGTTCTCTATAAATTAAAACAACGATGCGATGTTTCTTTGTTGACGGTACACACCGTATATTCTGGAAAAGGTCAGCGTTATATTTGGCGCGCTGTGTCTTGTTGCTTGAATTGTGGAACGGTTTCTTTTATTGAAAATACCTTGTAGAATTTAAGTGGCCCTCCTTAATGTTTCTTTATATTAGTTTCAAGTTTTATTAAATATCGCTAGTTTAGTATTATTTATATGAATTCACAAATATCATCATCTTCCTGCCCTTATCCCAATTATTTGGAGCCGATGTAATATATTTTTATCCATATAACTCAAGGTTTTCGCTTTTAATTTTACGACCAGACGCATAACTGACGTCAATCGGCAGAAAAGAATTCTTAATAATGGGGTCTAAATGCCCTATTGCTAGCAATATACCCTAGCAGGTCGAGCCCCACGCAGTTCCCCCTGGAAACCATCGTGAACAATTCTCGTTGAATTCGTTACGATAGGCTAACTGACCTGTTTCATTCTCATCTACCATCCCTCACTGGTGCTTCGCCACGTATACCGATATCGCAGGTGGGGTTACCCTTCCATTATCATCCATAAAAAAAACTGACGTTAACCTTCGGGTAAAAAGGGATTTTTTAGAAATGGATTCTAAAAACCCCATTGCTAGCAATATACCTTATCAGATCGACCTCTACGTGCTTCCCACTGGAAAATATCGTGGTTACTTCTTGGTAAATTTTTCGACTGACCTGCTATCATTCCCATCCTTACCATCTCTCAATGGTGCCTCGCTGGCATATACCTTTTTTACTTTATCCGAGCAGTAAGAGCTTTATATTATTCTCAATTTCGTATATAATATAGTATATGTCATATATGTTTGTTTATATTTGTTATTCATATATATTTGTTATATTTGTTATTCATATATATTTATTCGTTTATATATGTAATTTTTGTATGTATGTATATCAATAATTAGAAGTACCGCATTCGAGTATTTTGACACTTCCCTATGGTTGACTGGGAGAGAATGCTTTCAGCATTAAGTCCGCCATGTACACATATTTGTACTAATGAATAAATAAATAAATAAATACCGATTATATAGTCGGGATTGCCTTTCAATTTTCTCCCATTTAAAAAAAAAATTACATCAACCCTCCTCGGGAATGCATTTATTCGTGGATTAAGTACCTATGGTATAGAGGAAAGGATCAAGAAAAAAGAAAGGCGACGTTTAGAGTGAGTAAAAGAAATTGAAATAAATAGGAATAAAGAATGTCTCGGGGAAGGGAAAGGGAGACACTGTAATAGCGGTAGGGATACAATTCAGAAACAGCAATGGCTCGGGAGGCTGGGATCACATACCCGTGTACCTTTAGTCCAGAACTGGACAGATCACTAAAGGAATACTACATACTATAGGAATACTTAAATTATAATTAAATTATATTGTATATACATATATATATATACATTTACCGCATAGCAATTTAACATAGTATTTTCCGAGAGTGAGAAGAGCGGTCATTCTAGGCGCCAGATGCCAAAGGGCATTAAAAAGTCAAATGCCAAAAATTTCCAGCGCAAATGAAAATTATGAGGTCGCTTTTTTTCAAATAATTTAAAATTTTGAGACACTAGAGCGGTGTTGATGTGTAGATTGAAATAAAAATTTATTTTTGAAAATTTGGTAGTTATTAATTACTAGTTCTATCCCGCGGTTTCGCCCGCGTGAATCAGCATATTATAAGAATTCTTTCTATATGTTAAGTTAGCATATAACCTACCCATGTACCAAATTTCATTCGAATCCGTTCAGTATTTTTTATAATAGTTGTAAATGTTTTTTATGCAACTTAGAATGGCAAACAAGTTGACGGCCCACCTGATGGAAAGTGGTAACTGTTGCCTATATTGCGTTTTTTAAAGTTAATCGAAAAAAAAAATTTATTTATTCATTAAAATAATTATAACATTATGTCAGTAAAAATCAAATCAATGTTATAACCCTAGTGCTTATATACAAAATTATATTAATGGTATTTAACCCGACTCCAGATATTTCTAAGTTCCTTCTAATATCTTTAGCAGGCTACTACTAAAAATATCATGCTTCTTTAAAATCTGTACAGCGCAATATAAATATTCAACATGAGTCTCATACCTCATTTCCTTGTTACAGAAGAAATCCTCAAGTCCCGAACAGCACTATGGATGTCAGCGGACGGCCACATGGTGCTGTACGCGACCTTCAATGACAGTTTGGTGCACGAACAGAAGTATCCCTGGTATGGTGCAGCGCTAGACACCGATGACCCGGCGAAGGTAATTTTAATCTATCCTAATTGGAGGTAGGTAATGTATATTATATATGTATATGTATATGTATATATATATGTATGTATATATATATGCCTAGTAAATTACTATTTAGTCCTGATAGGTCCTGATAGTGTATTTAAAATATTGTTCATTCCACAATTAGTTTTGTTTTCGACTAAATTTATGTCTGTCTACTATTTTGTAATGCACACATTTGAAATGTACGCGTGATAATGCATATTTCGATATAAACATATAGAATATCAACTGCTATATGTCCCAACTATTAACAAAATTGCCTGTATAAGTTTACACGACCCATGACGTAATTGGCTTAATTCGAACTAATTGCTATGGCAGTCCTACGAAAAGGCCAGTATAGGGTTGCCAGAAGTACATAAGGCGTTATATAAAGATAGCCAAGAACAAATTGATATCATTATAAAAGTTCTTCTGCAATTTTTTACAATAAAAAAACTGAACGGGTTCGCTTTTAAGAGTTAATTAATTAACTTTATATTTGCTTAAATTTCATTAAATACCAATAAAGACTAATATTAACATAAGAAGAAATTGTTTGTGGATTTCGAATTTGTAGGCTCGGGCATTGAATTGTACTACGTTCTGGAAATTTTATATGTATAAAAACGCGCGATGCATGCCTGTTACAACTATAAAAACAAGTAACTTTTGTACATGTGACAATTTGTGCGTATTAATGAGTGATAATGGAATGGCAACACCGCCCGCGTTATCAGTATATACCGGCGGAGCACCAGTTTAAGATGATAGGAGAGAATGAATGCAGGTCAGTTGGCCCACCATGATGAATTCGACAAAAAATAACTATGATGGTTTCCAGCCAGAGCCGCGTGGAGGTCGGCCTGAGAAATATTCTTCATCTTTAATAAACTGTGTCGTGTGTGCCAACCCTTTAGCCAAACGTGGAAATGTATTCACGGAGTTATGATAAAAAATATGAAGAAAAAGATGCATGATGACGACAAAATTGTCATAAGAAAAACAATAGATATTAAAATTTCTTTATAGATTTTAAAGAATGTTTATATTATAACCAAAAAAACTCTATGGAAAAATAGACATATTCTTCGAAACAAAACAGTATGAGTGACAACCCTATAGCTAAGATTCTGAACGCATAACGGGGTTACCATATTTATTAACAATATTCAATAATATTGTAACAACTGTTTCTTACATTTAACTTTGTATTCGTGCTTCCTTACTGTTTCCACAAATAAAATTTATCAGTTTCTTTATACAGTTTAAGTACCATTACAGCTATTTATTTTTTGGAGTTTAAGAACATTTTATTATATCAGTTGTTTAGAATTAACTTTAGCACTCTGCATATGTCCTTGCAAATTCTGATAATATTATATCTAAAAGCGAAAGTTTGTAACAATGGATAGATTGATAGATATGTGTTTATTAACCTTTCACGCAAAAATTACTGGACGAATTTAAATGAATTTACATTATAATTATATTGATACACAGGTAGGTTATATCCTGACTTAGCACATAGGACACTTCATGCATTTACTGATTCACGTGGACAAAGCTATAGAAAAAATAGAAGACATATAATAAAAATGAAAAATTGTTTATTAAAAAATAATCAAAGAAATAAAAACCTCTTGGTGCTTTAATGGCTTAACTTGATCGTTTTAAAAGTTTTATTTATAGGTTTTTTTTTATATATAACGGCCATTCAGTATAGCTCAGGTAACGTTGAAGAAATCACGTGCAAAAACTATTTCATAATATTTTTAACAGACGTTACGTCTTTATGTGATAACCGGACACAAAATCGCGTTTATCACTAAATATTACTTAGAATGATTTTTCTATTGTTATAAGACACTCGATATGATAGACATTTGTATAAACAAGTTGTAAAATAAGCTTACAATATGCAAATCGAAAGGTCCAAAGTTTGGAGGCATCTAAATGTGCGTTTTATTCGAATAATCCACGGATATGTGCGGATTTTGTCACCCCCGAGAGAGAGTTGGGTCGGATTAAATTGCTGCTGCTAAAAATATTCCTTTTTTTTCCTTATAATTATTTCGTATTTGAAATAACTGGTATTTGTACAATAATATTAATTATTTAATTTGGGAATGAGTGTAAATACATTTCTTGTTTTCCAAAGGTTGACTGAAAGAGAATGCTATATAGTATTAAGTCTGAATATTTTTTGTAATGTAGCCAATAAACATCAAATAACAGACATATTTTATGCTCATTTTGAACGTAAAGGGAATGTTGCGTTGGTTTGGCCATTTGGAGAGGATAGATGAAAGAAGAAATTTATTGAACACGAATGAATGGAGATGTCGGTAGGGGCCGTCCCAAATGAACCTTTGTTGAACAAATAGGCGAAGTGCTGCAGAAGGTCCTAATTAAAACTACCCATTACTAGCAAACGTCTATGTTCATACCACGCTAAATTTAATTTTTAATTTATTCGATTAATGAATGGAAGCGAAATATATCTTTTTGAATCGGAGCATTTGGCGTTCCGTTGTTACTACCTACTTCAATGGGAGATAGGCGCGGCAGATATGTATATATTTAAATGAATTCTAAAATGACAACATTCAATTTTTTACAAATATGTTTTAATGATAATTGTCTTGAAAAAATATAGATTGAATTCTAAATGATTAGAAATTTTTAAATAAGTCTTCTTTTAATGAAACTGAACATATTTTTCCTGATAAACATGGATTAGTTTCTCAGAAGGTAGTTACTGATGTTGTATTCTGTAGTATTATCACTTCAATCCCATATTTTGTTACAAAATATGGTTCTAAAATACGACCTTAAGAAATTTTATAGACTGTCTATGTATCATCAATGTTCTTCTGGCCTTCCTGGTGGAAAAGGGTTGGGTGGGTACCTCGGAATGAGCCGAGTATATTTTTGAAATCTTCAGTCTATTTCATCACATTGCATTTTTTGTACAAGATCAACCCTGAGACCTTTTTTATTTTAATATATTCGTTTTCTCTCAATAGTTAAAGCAAAAGGTATTCGATACTTGAACTATATTGGTTAGTGTACTGATTTGTCTATGTCATATGAAATTTTAGTATCTTTAATTAATTGTTTCAGACATATCCGGAGATCAGGAGTGTGAGGTATCCGAAGCCTGGCACTAATAATCCGACGGTGACACTCACAGTGGCCGACATCGCTGATCCGAAACATATTCGAACAAGACACCTCACTCCACCCAAAGTTATATTAGAAGAGGGGTAAGAATATAATAGTCATAATATTTTTTTTACAGGATGAAAATGAAGCGGTAACGTATTTTCATCCTGTAAAAAAAATATCGACTTGAAGAATTTTTTTGACATTTGGGTATAAATAAAAACTGTATCTGGCAACCCTGCTCTTTAATCCCTGCGTTTCAATTGCATACACTTTGTCCTGACTTATTAGGGAATGTCATCTGGCCATCTTTTGGTTAGTTGACCTTGCCGTGAGTATTAGCGCAATCTTTCCTCTCTGGCACCCAACATAAAGACGTATTAAAAATATATTCATCATATCAGTTGTTTTCTATCTGCTGCTAAACATAGGCCTTCCCCATAGACTCTCATAAGGCACGAGGCCTTTCCTTACGGCAGTTTAATATTTGGGGGGAATTTGTCAGTAGTTACCACGCTTGGCAGACGGGTTGGCAATCGCAGTTTAACTTTCGGTGATGTTTTACGAGAGACACTGCTGCCCCTCTCGATCATTAAGTTCCCTTAGTCGCCTCTTACGATACTTACAGGAAAGGAAGACGTAGCCCATTATATACTGGGACCACATGGCAAAAAAAATTAAAAATATATTGGAAATTGACAATTATAATATTTTATGAGAAACTTTTGGCTTAGTAAGTCGGTATTTAACATACTACTCGTACTTCCAGAAATTAAATCAAATTTACATATTATCATCTAACTAAACATTTATCTGCACTAAGGTTGAGTATAGTGATACTGTTGTAAGAATTAAAGATTTTGTTCGTAAAATGCTTCGCGGAATAAGTATTTCTGAATAGTATTTTTTATGACTCTACCGCCCATTTGGAATGCAATTTCAGATGGAAAAAACAGACAAAAAACTCCACTGTTGCTTTTTTCAAAAAAGTTAATTTGTGTAAATACATCCTACCAATAAATAAAGATATAATGCCGACCCTGAAGAAACCTCTTTACCCCCCTTTTGAAGAACCCCATGCTGTAGTCTCTTGAAAAAACTTCGACAGGGAGCTCATTCCATAACCTGAGCGTTCGTGGGAAAAACATCTCTAAAACCGCATTGTACACAACCATCTAAACTCTAGGGTATGAGAATGAACTCCCGATAGATAACGAGCCGTACGATGGTAGAAAGTGGCCGTGGGCATCATATTGAACCATTCCTCTAAGCAGAATTCGTTGTAGAAGCGGTAGAATACGCAGAGTGAGCAAAATCTTTCCTAAGATTGAAGGATACATACTATACAACTTGTAAGCCTGGGATCATCGACTATTCTCAATTAATAATTACAATATCTCATAATTTTCCTTAAATACCATTCTTAATCCATGTCCCTTAATAACACCTTTGTAACCATAATACCTACGTAACTAAATATAATCCTTGTAGGTTCACATAAACCGTAGTCTACAGTTACTGTAAGCTTATCTAATCCTGTGAATTATATTACAAGTAAATAGTGTAGCGAAGTGGACCATTTATCGAGGGATGTTCCAATTTTCAAAGGTTCCAGAAACCCGTCGTTCAATCTTTTTTGACAGGGCTGATTTATTCATTTGAAATAATCAGCAGTAGTTTATGCCTATATTTTATCTTACCGTATAAAACCAGCCGGTATTCATACGGCCACACAATAACGCCGGTTCTCTCAAATATCTACATTAAATAATGACAGAGCTCCTAAGCTTTTACCTAAATAAAATCTTTCTCCACAAAATACAAAGTCTTTACATTACTTATTGCAAATTCCTCTAATTCTTTAATGAAATAATGTTATTTAATTGTAAATTAATGGATGATAGGTAATTTATCCACTTGGGTTATTTAATTGTAAATCAAAAGATGTTTTAGCTATTTGGTCTGATTACTTTGGCAAACAATCAAAATGGCTTTTGTAAAGAACATTTCATAAATTGTTTCCTAAAGCAATCTTACCGGGACGCTCGGTTACTCAACGCTAACGCTTTGAAATTGAAATATCCAAAGGGCTTGTTACTGTCACCGTGATGGATGAATTGCGCCAAAATTAAAGTTCTGAGATGTTCTGTCCTCAACTCTGTCATATCAAGTGAAATATGTCCGTTAAACAGTCCTTGTCCACTGTAACAAGCATCGAAGTCGTTACGTCTTTGGTGATTCTTTATAATCCATAGCTATTTTTACTGATGTTGACAATATTACAGAATACAATTTGCTAGATAACAAGCAGAATAAAATAATCCTTCACTATCAAAACCCCAATATTTACGTTTTTTTTTGAGAAACTTGGTAAACAAATGGTATAAACCATACATAAAAATTAGAATAATTAAGTAAGCAATTAACTTATAGATTTTTCGTTTATTTCTAGCGATTATTATTTCACGAGCGCACAATGGGTGTCCCTCACAGAAGTGTGCGTAGTGTGGCTGACACGCACGCAAAACCTATCTGTAGTGTCGGTGTGCAAGAGTCCTATGTGGTACTGTCAAGAGGTATGTCCAATCGTATTATGTTATCCTAGTACTCCAATTTTATAGTAGTCTTGTGATTTTATTTATTATTTACTTGAACTAAAAATCAATGGTTGTTTTTACAGGTGTATAGAATATTATCAGGCTCAGAGGCCTGGGTAGAATCAGCCCCAGCTCCGTTATGGTCAGCTGGCGGTGGAGCCTTGGTCACGTTGGCGCCAATTAGAGACGGGCCAGCGGGTTTGTTCAGGCATATTGTCAGAACCGAACACAATGCACATGGCCCTAGGGCGTTGCCATTAACACACGGCAGCTTCGACGTTGTGAAGCTGTTGGCATGGGATCACGCTAATCAACACATGTGAGTTTCTATTCTCCTAGTATAAACTCTGTTGTGAAATTCTTGAAGTAGGCGATGTAAATGAAGATGCCGCTTTTAGATATGAACAGTACCGTAGATATTACACAGTGTATATACTGTGACACCCATAAAACCCCTCATGTGTTGTCATTCCCTAGATCTAGCATGTTGTTCCTCTGTAGCCTGTAATGGAACGACTAAGCTGATGTTAATAGAATTTTATATGAAAAAGTTTTTATTTGTTTTATGGGAATCAAAGTATTTTTTATAACAGCTATAACATCGACTCGAATTTGTTGTAAATACGAGATATATTTGGATTAGTCAAAAGTCATGGTATCATTACAGTTGGAATGGAAAGTATATTATTTCTATTTTTGACACATTCTTTTTATAATTTTTGTAGCTATTACCTCGGAATACCTGAAGGTAAACCAGGACAACAGCATCTATATAGGATATCATCTGAAGCACCACGACCCGGTTCACCGCAGAAGTTGCCTTATTGCGTTACATGTAATTCGCAGGTGAGTTTTATCCATTACTGTTTTGACATTAAACATTCTAACTTTAAAGTTGGCTCCACGGAAACTGAGGATTCCACCTTAGATATATAGGAACGTTGATCTGGAATATACATCCAATCTCGTGAGCAAACCTATTTTGCAATTCAAATCGTGTTAAACCTGAACATTCTGATGGACAAGCTTTACTTTACTATCGTAAAGGTAAAACTAACATAAATTTTACATGAATATATATTTTCTATAGCCATCGCCGTCAATAAACTTGGAATACTATGGGAATTTGGCGTCCTCTGGTGACAGTACGTGGGACTCCGATTGGGATGAAGAATTACCGGCCACATCACCTACGCCTTCCAAAAAGAAAAAAAAGAAACATCCAGGTAAGATTTTTATTATTCATATAACATTAAAGCATTCGAAGCAAAGGAAATATGACATGGAGCTTACCTGTTTTAACTTTTCCGACCTTTCGTCTTAGATGCGTCTTAGATAGACGTTGATTGAAAAGGGGTTGAACCCCATAATGGTTGCCCTGTGATAACCCCATTACCAATACATATTTTGAAATACGTTAACATTTAAAAAGGTTATAATCCCTTTTTTATATATTTTATGGTACAACTGTTTTGTTTTTACTATATTTTATTTTAGAAGGTCTTCCTCAAAATCTACCGTGCCTTTACCACGAAGCCCACTTCAGTCCATCATCAGCGTACTTTGTGCTGGAATGCCTCGGCCCAGGAGTACCTACTTCCAGTTTGTTCAAGATTGCTCTTCCAGAGCCAAGACTCTTGTTGCACTTGGAGAATAATACAGCAGTCAAGGTAAATCTATAAATTGTATATTTAAACGTTTTATTACTTAATTGCGATAAATTAAATGGATTTGAATTAAATTTAATAAGTAGATATATTTACTATATCCTGAATATTACTAATATAAATAAATAGTCACTAAACAATGTCTGTATATGGAAGATATTTAATAAAAAAAATTATATAATATTATGGATCTTTCTAAGACCAATAGAAACCAAATTTTTTTTTTAATTTTTAACTGTCTGCCTGTTTGTTCATTCCGGCATCATGCAAAAATTACTGTACCAAATTAAATGCGGTTTTCATAGTGTCATAGTTTCTAAACTTCTAACTTAAAATCTAGTATATGTTTGTTTTGATATATAAAATAAAAACGATTATATTTTTTCTAAGCTATGAAATTATTAAACTTTTTCTCATTTGATACAAACATAGGTACTTTTTGTAAATATTCAAATGTGTAGTACTCCTCTTTAAAAAAAATATATTATATCTATTATAAAGTAATTTCCGACCCTCTATTTGATAAAGAAGCAAATTCTGCTTCTAGCATCCCTTGTTAAACGAATATCAGAAATCTTTTCAAATCTACCTTTTTTATGTCTTAATAAGACATAAAAAAGGTAGATTTTAGAGATTCATTTAGAGATATATATCATATCAAGTCCTTGGGGATATCTATCATAACAATGTTTGTACCTACATGACATCGAAGTCATCTTTTCATACATATACAAATATAATATTTTTTTTATTTAGAACAATGGCATGTTCCAATTTACTCACAACAAAAGATCTTCATAATATTTTATTGAGGAAAGAATATTGCATTCACGAGGAATATTATTCTTTATATAAACAAAACAATTGACATTAACAATGGCGGCGAATCGAGTCATTTGCCGCGAATTTGGCCAACGAAAGATAATCAAATGGATAATCATTGGGGGATATTGAGTAATCTACATAAATAATAAAAATACGTTTTTACAATTTTTGTCTATCTATACATTTGTTCTTGCATTACAAAAACTATTACACTAAACTGGATACGGTATTCACAGCTGTATTCATAAAGGTTTAATTTAAAATATGGTGTATAATTTACCCCAAAATCCATGTATACGATGTTGCAATGTCGTAAACGATGTCCAATATAATATAAATGTGAGTACTTCCATTTCACTCACTAATTATGTATGTATTCCATGGCTTTTGGTTGTCACGACCCTAATGAAAGGTCGCTAGGGATAAAAATTTAATTTAAATATTTATGTGGAGTTTTACCTGAAATTATGACACAATCGTTACAATCAGTTACAGTCCTCAAACAAGTAATATCGAAAAACATCTAATATTTACGTAGGTAATGTTTTTCAAATGACATCTTTTCATTATTGGAAAAATAAATCTTATTCATAATAACTGAAACTGTACGAAATGAAGAATGTTTTGTCACTTTCGTGCAAATTGAGAAATTAACGTAAAAGAAAAGGACAAAGAGTCGATTAGCTAATATAGATTAAACGATTTAATGAAAAGTAAAAAGATACCACATCTAACTATCGTAAATGTCTGATAAATATTTATGAGAAAATATTTTTTTAATATACAACTTCGAATGGCAAACAAGCTGACGGCCCACTTGATGGAAAGTGGCAACATGAGCAGTATCATGGACATAACAGAGTATACTGTTTCGCCCATGATACCCCCATGCGTAATTCCTTGTTATTCCTCTGTAAAATTCAAACACCGAAACACACACCATGCAAACACAACTGCTTTACGGTTGAAACACGAATGGGACAGAAATACACAAGCAAACGACTTTTGTACAAAGTCTCCCTCTGGTAAAATTTTGTTAATGTTACTCAAATTATAATTAATAAAATAATCGGAGCCCCGATGGAGCCATAACAGCCATAAAAAAGAACGCATTATTAATCTGTGTAACTCACAGACTAATAATGCATACTTAAATTTCATAATTTGGAGAGGATGGATGAAAGAAGAATTACGAAAGAGATTTATCGAGCAAGAATGAATGGAGATGTCGGTAGGGGCCGCCTTAGACGGACGTATGTCGACCAAATAGGCGACGTGCTGAAGAAGGGCCAAATTAAAAGTACCCGTAACCGGCGAGCATGTATGAAAACATTGATGAATGTGGAAGAAGCGAAAGAGGTTTGTTTGAATCGAAGCATTTGGCGTTCCATTGTTTCTGCCTACCTAATAAGACAGGCGTGACAGATATGTATGTATGTAAATTTCATAATAAATATATAATATAATAATAAATATCTATTTTAATTATATATAATGATTGCGTTCATATTCTTACAATAGACGGATTCACTATGTTAAAAAAAAAATAACCGACACCAATCATCACATAATAGATTTTATTGCACAAAAACCCACTTCAGTTGTGGCAAAACCAGTTATTTTGATTTAAAAACTACTAAATCGTATATGATAAAATTTTTATAGGATCAATCTGAAAGTATGTCCTTACATACAAAAAAATCCTATATAAGTTTATAAATGACGATGATCTGAGATAATAAATATAAAAAATAAGGTAACAACTGAATTAAAAACCTCCTCTATTTTTTAAGACGATTGAAAATTTATTATTAATTGTTATTAAAAGACATTTTAGTATAAGTTTAAAAGGCCGGCAGCATACCTGCAATGCCTTTAGTGTTGTGGATGATCATGGGCGGTGGTAGTCACTTACCACCAGGTGAGCAGCATGCTCGTTTGCACCCTGTGTTGTAGAAAAAAAAATTTAGTATAATCTTAGTAAAATATAATGTAGATTTTAGATGGAATAGATGCAATATAAATCCACGTAAAAAATGTTTGATAGTGGGCACGCGTGGTTTAATAGCTTAGTAAATGAAACTGATAATTACTGAATTTACTTTCTGATATATTTTTTACTAACACACTGCAAATGTTCTGATCGAACCATATTTGAACTGAATAAAATTTTTATAATTTACTGAATAACTGAAATATAATCGCAGAAACACGCTTGCTTTTTTTTTTTTTTACTACTTAGAATGGCAAACAAGCTGACGGCCCACCTGATGGAAAGTAGTAATCGCCTATAGACATGACAGTACGGACATAATAGAGTATACTGTTTCGCCCATGATACTTTGCCATTCCTGAGGACTCAAGCCTCTGTACCGTAAATTCACGCCATATCCCATCCTTCAAACCGGTTAAAACACAACTGCTTGATCAAGGAAGAATCATCGACAATCCTAATTAAATTTTTTACTTAATCATAGACTACAAGAAACCGAGATTCTGCCCATTAGGAATAAATTATGATCAATTGAACTGAATATAAAAATGAGATATAGACATGTTGAAGCATACAATATTGCTTAAATAATAAATAAATGTCTATATTATTAACATGATCATGTAAATTAAATATAATGTAAATAATCCTTATATTTTTCTAAATGATTACAAAAAAGTATTGGATAAACAAACACAAAAAAAGACAAAGCTTTTTAAGTACCTATAGTGAGAAACATAATACGAAGAGCGTCTTTATACTGAACACCAAGTTCTTTTGAGACAAAAGTTGCGCAATTAAGCCAAAATAATGTTCCATTTGACGTTCTTTGTTCTCTGGTCTGTGAAAGAAATTATAATAGTTGCAAGATAATTAATTGTATGCAAATCCACTATGCAGATTCAAACTTTTTGAAATTTTAAAGAGAAACTTGCAAAGTGATTCTAGAATCGGATAAAACTGAAGTTTTGTTAATTTTCCCCCGTTATTAAAATATCAAAGTCATTGTTTTTTATTTATCTGTTGGTGAAACTGAAAACCTGATTCCTCAGGAATGGCAACGCATGGGGGGTATCATGGACTAAACACTTCACTTTGTTATGCCCATAATACTGCTCATGTCTATAGGTGACGGTTACCATTTTCCATCAGGTGGATCATCACGTTGTTTATCTTTCTAAGTGACATAAAAAAACCTAAAGAAACAAATTATTTAAAACGTACCTTACTAACATTATTCGTTCAAGCTAAAATTTTTTGGACCCATGTTTTCTTAGAAAAAATTATTCACTTAAAAATATGCTATTCAAGGATTTCTATTTTATCCCATTCATTATTGTATTAATAAAAAATGTAAACAACTTTTTTCATTGAATAACAAATTAATTTAAGATTTGTATACCTTTAAATGCTGCTTCCTCCACAATCAAAGCATTTCAGATAAAGAAATACGTTTCTCAGATTAAAATTAAATAAAAATATATTTTTTTTATCAAAGGAAAAAAAAATGAAAATTATTTTCAATGAAAATTCATTAGTCTTACAAAGGAAAAATTCATTTTTGTATATTTTGAACAGGAAAAATTGTCGGCAATAGCCTTGCCAACACCCCGGACGTTTTCTGTGCAACTGTCGAGCGGTCACGCGGCCAGAGTTCGACTTTTGTTGCCTCCAGGACTAAGAGAAGATGAAGTCACTAAATATCCACTCGTATTAAAAGTGTAAGTAATTTTATATGTATTTGTGATTTAATGGAGTTGATAACAAGAGTAATAGTTGAATAGTTTTACTGAATAAACAGAACAATAGATGAAAAAGCCTATATTGTACTTTTCCATAGATTAAGGATAGTATTCAACATATTTTTAGAAGCGAACATGACAGCTGCTTGACATTACTTTTGGCGGGAAACATTGTTATTGTATTAACAATGTTTTAACTTACGTATACAAAAATTTTATTTCGTGTAATTATTTACGATATAGATGGCTAGCATTAAACTTTTTAATCAACTTACATTAGTAAATAAGCTGATAGCTGATGCAGAATATTATAAGTTATAATGTATTTTGACGTATTATTTAATAAATAAAATGAGTTTTTAAGCGTTAAAAAGATGCAGAAAGTATGAACCAAAATAAATATAGAGGTTATAAAGGAAACCCTTATTACTACATACTTACTATATAGTTATTAATACATCTATACTTATAACATAGTGATAAATATCACGCAAAATTATATAAAAAAGTTGGCCCGCTTTTCTCGAAGCATTTGTATGGAAACACTCTATTTATATAATTTAAGGTATAGATATAATTTAAAAAGCGCAAATAAATAATTTTAAGTATGACGTAATAGTAACTAACTTTAATCTATTTTTACTAAAAATACATTTATAAATTTGGTATAATTGAATAATAAATTAATATCGTCTAAGTAACATTATATAACTTTATTAATAAAGTTTATAATTGAATTTCTTCTCGCGTAACAAGTCAAAATCATCACTAAAGTTAGACAACATTTTATAATAATAAATTAACACAACAGAAATGTAAAGTTGACTATAATACTTTTTAGTTCACAATACTCAGTTGACTACAATAATGTTAAACACGAAGCATGTTGTTTTTGCCTCTAAATGTAAGAACAGTTAGATCTAATCCACTAGCGTATTGTATTGAAATGCGTCGCTGTATCTTATGTTGGTGACCCTATAAATAAATAAATACAAATTAGATACATTCTTGTAGCTTAAATTGGCTACATGCTGCAATTACCTGTGGGAGGAACGGTCGACGGATCTTTATTACTTCTAATCGGATTCCACTTGGTTCTTCTCTCTTGTAATTATCGAGTGTACCATCCAAATCAAATGGGGAAGTTTTTAAAACTCTTTCTATTTGCCAAACACTGATTGACCATCTGTTCTTTCAATTTCCATCAGATGGGCCACTAAAAACGTCGCATGAACCACAAAATAATCGCTTTTTGAAACTTTTTTGATACTTAATACTGCATTATTATTAGATATATTAATATGTTTAATTTTTACTCACGATTTCGTCCACGTGACTGGAATATGTTGATTAATCGAAACAAAAAATAGCCTCCTTCATCCCAAATAAGAACTACATGTATGCCAAATTTAATTAACGATTAGTCGAGCCGTTAAGGCATCATGTGGCAACAAACAGTCTCACTTTCACTTTCATAATTTTCAAACGACTTAAAAAAAGGAAGTTCTCAAGACAGTTGTATTTTTTATGCTTCATCATCACCATCATATCAGCCTTTTACTGTCCATTATTGAACATAGACCTCCCCTATAAGGAGGGTTTTCTAGTAGTTGCCACGTTTGGCAGGAAGGTTAACAAACGCAGTTAGGATTTTATGACCTTTTAAGAGGGACACTGCTACCTATCCGTCGATCATTAAATTTATATATTTTTTATGTTATGAAGTATCATAACCCCATCAATTCTAAAACAAATTATATTTTTTTTATCTAAAAGGATATACTTACAGATTGGCCCCATAAAATTTTTATTAAAATCAGTTTAATTTTAGACAAAAATATGTAACTGGTTTTGTCACAATTGAATTGGGTTTTTGTACGGGACATAATCTTTAATTATACTAAAGATTGTACTAAAAGATAACAAATGAGTGGAAGCATAAAAGGCGGTCTTATCGTAAATGCGTATCTGCCAGATACATATATAGAGGTAGATACTCTAGAGAAGTTTATTCATATAAAGTTATAGATTCTTTCATAAGGGACCTTTACAGCCACGGGGCACCAGGAACGCAGCTGGTAACAGAGCGCTGGTCGCTCGACTGGGGCGCGTTAGCTGCTGGCGCGGGCGCGGTGCTGGCGTCGGTGGACGCGCGGGGAGCTGGTGGGAGAGGCCTGGGTGCACATCACACGTTACACCGCCGACTTGGTACTGTCGAGTTGGCTGATCAGTTGGAGGTTGCTGAGTAAGTAACTCTGTTCGTTTCTCAAATTATTTACTTGCGATAACAGTACTTTTATTACTGCAAGAATTAGAGTAGAAGTTGCTAAATATGCAACTATTTATTCATATCTGCAATTTTTCACTTGCAGTAATTATAGAAATTGCTAAAGCAGATAATTTGATAGTATCTAAAAATTTTTACTTGTAGTAATAGTAGAGATTACTGAGTAAGTAAATGTTTGTTTGTTATCAATAAATCTTTACTTGTAGTAATAGAGAAGATACTGAGTAAATAACTATTCATTCATTTTTTTTATACAACTTAGAATAGCAAACAAGCTGACGGCCCACCTGATGGAAAGTGGTAACCGTCGCCTATAGACATCAGCAGTACCATAGATAAACAGAGTAGTAATTGTAGAACTTACTGAGTAAGTAACTATCTAGTTACTTACTCAGTAACTTCGTATCTTCAATTCTTCAATTTCGGTAATAATAGAATTTACTAAGTACTTGTTTGTAACTTGAATTATTTACATGCAATGACAATTCAGTAGGGTGATGCTTGGCTGCCTTCTGAGGATTCCAGTCGAGTCCCAGCGTAAAACTCAGATATTTTTACATTCATGTGTGGATCATTTAGGCAATATATCCTCGCAAAATCCCTCTTCTTGCGACATACAGTTCACTTCCTTATTCTACCCTTGAAACGGAAAGTACGGTATTTGCATACTGTGGTTTTAGATTGAAGGCACTTAGCGACAGAATTCATAAATGGTGGTAGTAGCTATACTAGTAGATGGGTATTCAAGATTTGATGATTATGGGTTCCAAGAAAGCAGAATACTTGCCAATTTTTTCCTATAGATATGTCCCATATATGTTGTATGTGAAATAAATATATATAAGCATACAGAATATAGATAGCATAATATAGAATGAGAAAAACTTGAAATAAATTTCTAAAATAAAACAAAAATATGGTATATCTGTGTACTGAGTTTATTGTTTTACACAAAAACAACTATTATTATATCGTGACCAAGTACAATCTAGTCAATGGAGTCAAACAAGTTGACTTTGAGTCGAATGGTTCTTTTGTTAAAGAGTCACGGAGAGTTTTTCTCTATTTCACAATGGAACTATCATAGAATATAGAAGAATTATTTACTATGATATACCGTGGTACTACGTTTTTTTTTTAAATCCTAGGTATCTTCGTGACTCACTGCATTTCATCGACGCTCGCCGCGTGGCGGTGTGGGGCCGCGCTCACGGTGGATTCCTCGCGGCTTTGGCGCTCGCGAGTCCGCTCAACGTGTTTCACTGTGGAATCGCCCTAACACCCATCGTACGCTGGCGATATTACGGTAATAAGGGATTACGTGTGATAAATGGTCGTTTAAATTAAATCTGTATTAAACATTTGTATTTGTATGTGTATATATTAAAGAGAAGTTCTGTGACTAATCTTAAAGATAATGATTTTGACGGATTACAAAATAATAACAATACTGCTGAATATAGGACTAGGAGCTTGCCAGTAGTTGCCAAACTTGGCAAGCGAATTAGCAACTGCAGTAAGGTTTTGATGATACTTTAAGAGAGACGCTGTTGCCTATTCCTCGACCATTAAATACCCCTAGTCGCCTCTTAAGATAGTCACTGGAAAAGAAGGAAGACCAATCTATGCCGGGACAACACGGTATTATAACTAGTAGCTAAAAACCGCCTACCAAGCGTGGCAATTACTGGCAAGCCTCCTATATTCAGCAGTGGTCAGTTAACGGCAAATATGGTAATGATGAGCTATTTGTTAAGTATGGGATGTATGATATGGAAAACTCAAGATTATCTGATTTACAGTTCACGAAATTTCCGTCTTAATATATTTTTTACCAGAGAACTCTTTGTACAAAAGTCGATTGCTTGTACATCTATCCCATTTTATATATATTAAGCAGTTGTGTTTGCATGGCTGTGTTTCGGTTTGAAGGGTGGGATATGGCAGAGAAACACTGTACAGAGGAATAACATAAAAAACGCATAAATGGGCGAAACAGTATACTCTGTTATGTCCATGGTACTGCTCATGTCTATAGGCGATGGTTACCACTTTCCATCAGGTGGGCCGTCAGCTTGTTTGCCATTCTAAGTTGTATAAAAAAAAATTCAATAGCACGATTAGATTTTTAGTTTTACGTTCCACTAATGATTACAATTTCACCTTGTATGTTTATTGCCATAATTCACACAGCATCAGCATATGCGGAGCGTTACATGGGTTTTCCGAACGCAACTGGCAACTATCGAGGGTACGCGGACGCTGATGTGACGAAGCAGGCAGCGGCATTGCATGACAAGATGCTGCTCCTGGTTCACGGAACAGCAGACGACAATGTCCACATTCAGCAAACCATGGCGCTGGCTAAGTCGCTGGCCAATCAGGGCAGCATGTTCAGGCTGCAGGTATGTTTTACTAGATGGAAACTTAGTGTAAAAGTATGGCAAGTATTACATCTTAGATTATATAGATATCAAAATTTAAATTAAAAAAAAAAAAACTTTCATTTCATTTCCATTTTACAGTGTTGCAAGAATTTGAATAAAAAATTCCCCGATGTCGATATTTTTTTTATATAAATATATGAGTATTAATAATTAAAATACAGATATTAATTCAATTGATGGTCACTTTCAATAATTCAAAAACGAAAATATATTTATACTCTACTCAAATATAAATCAAAATATTTATAATATTTCTCCTGTGTATTTCAAAAATGTTTATAAGAGTTTTGTAACATTTTTATTTTTCATTTTAACCTTATAATATACATATTCTCCCACATACTGAGTAAAATAATAATATATGGTATCCTATTCACGCACACTTGAATAAAAAATTGACCTGTTTCAGATGCATTTGTATAGGAGACGCTCTTTCTATATAAAGTAAATATATACATAAGTATACTGATTAATATGAGTACGTAACCTACTTGGTATTCTTCAGATTTACCCAGATGAAGGCCACAATTTGGACGGCGTGAGGCGGCATTTGTACCGTACCATGTCGTCATTCTTGGACGACTGCTTCAGGAAACAGGTACCGCCGGAGACGAAGGCCGGCCTGCGGAACGGGGGCAACCTCGACTGAGACACGTGGAAGGACGAGGAGTTGTGCTCTTGGTGAGAAACTTTTTTTTTAATATTGAAAGGGTCCAACAATTGATCACAATCTCACCTGATGGAAAGTGATGATAGGGCTAAGATAAGATAAGATAGGGCTCGCAGACCCACGATAAAAAGCTAGCCTATCCCTCTTATTCGTAAAAAACGTTGAACCTCTTAAAAACCTATTTTAGCTAATTAAGTGTTTTGTCCTTTTTTCGCGCAAATTTTCCAATTTGAAAGACAATTACAGAACATTGTAATAGTTAAAATAAATTTGGAACACGTTTTAATTTCTATAACTAAAATGATATGTCTTTATATATACTTCTCTATCCCGTATACGTATAGTACGTGTATACGGATTTTCATAGTGATTGGTTAAGTGATGAAGAGGTTTGGTTATTACCTTTTGGGGACTAAGGTACCAGACGAAAACTTTGTACAAAATTATCTGCAAAAGTACCTCTATCCCATTCGTGTTTCTGCTATTAAGTAGCTTAGCTTCTATGGCTGTGTATCAATATAAAAAGTGGGATAAAGCAGTGAAATTACAGTGTATAGAAGTATAGTAACATAGTTCTCAGAAATTGTAACGCATAACGGGTATCATGGGATTCACAGTATATTCGATGATATCCATGTTACTGTTTATGTCTAAGACGACTGTTTCCATTTTCCATCAGATGGGTTGTCAGCTTGTTTGCTATTCCAAGTTTCATAAAAAGGGCGTCCAATTTAATAGTACATTTAATATGTTAAAAATAGGAGCTCTATTAATAATTAGAATATCAATGAGGTATCTAGATGGAATTGTTGATCAAAGATTTGCCATTATCCAAATAGTCTTTTTGCCACTAGCCGCTGTCGTACAAATTCTGAAAAACGGGTCACCTTTGTATAGACTTCTAAATACATATAACGCTTTATTTAATGATGTTGATATTATTAATAAACGCCCAAGCACTTTTAAATAGCTAATCTCTAAAAGATTCATGTAGTTTTTAACTGTTCTTGTTTGCTTCAGCTATTTATATTATATTTGAATTGAAACTGTGGTAAACGGTGTTGGTGGCAAATTTACTCAATGTTTTCTTTGTATATTATGTATTATTCTTTATTTTGTAACTGTTACTTTTTCCAAATAAATAAAAAAAAAAAAGATATAGATATTTTTGAGAATTAATACTAATACCGTGTCTTCTCTTCTAGGTAATATACGATCGAAATAGACAAGATGTTAAGTATTACTCTTTGAATCCCATTAAATCTTTAGTACAACACTTCCATATCCCTACAATGTCTGCTGTCGACGAGTGGACTCTACACATCAAACATTTTTGTGATAACTAGGTTATAAACTATGAGTTGTGTCGTAATGAACTTACTATTCGTTGAAGTCTTGAAGTGTGCGCTTGTATATTACGCGAATTGTTCTTTCGAGTGACTTTTTTCTAAATAATATACCCTTACTCAGTTTTTTATTTAAGCTACAGTCAAACATGCGCGGCAAATCGCGATGGGAGAGTCTAAAATGCGAAACAACGCAAAACATGCGCATTAAACCGCGAAGCAAGAGCGTCCAAAGAACGCATGCTTGTTAGTATTTATTTTTTTAAGTATACCTATTACGTATAAATTCTTGTAATTTTTTGTATCTATAGCAAGTTTACTATTGTAATCTTTTGGAGGAATCAACAAAGAGTGTCTATCTATCTAATACAGTTAAACTTGCGATAAATAAATGTTTAAACATCTTACTACAAAAGGGTCTCTAACATCTGTTTATGTCAAAATAAAAAACTCTTGTCTTTTTTAAAAATAAAAGGCGTTTAAAGTGATAAATTTTATTATACTAGTTTAAACACTTTAGCACGTAAAATTACAAATAAATATTGTTACGCCGAATAAAGCGACGGAGTCTCTTCCTTACTTCATAATTGCTTTCGTCGCTCATGTTTGGCAGTAGCTTTGCAGTGAATTTGTATCGAATTTGTAATTATTACTACTTGTAAAGAAGAATAAAAAATATCAAATTGTTGAATTTATGAGATCATTTATAATCAAAACCTAAGGAATTGTTAAAAGGTTATACTACACAGCAATGCCTTTGTGTCATATTAAATTTTGGTGTTCCTAAGGGCAGATTATAGGTACATAAGCAATTCCTTATTATTTGTATGAATAGATGAAGTTTTGGTATTAATTGCATTTTGATTTTAAATATAAAATATAATTAAATCTGCTTGTCTGTTATTTTGTAAAACGAGTATATGTATATAAAAAATAGAGATTATTTCGAAATCTTTAACATCAAAAGGATGAAGGCAGAGAATGCTCTATAAATGGAAATTTACATTTCTTCCAAAAAAGCATGAGCGAAAAACGAATATAAATGTTAGTGGTTTCGTTTACTCTCTGCGATAAGAGATTTAGGTAAGTAGGTATATTTTACTAATGACTATTTTTTTTTTGATGGGTTAATATGGTATGGCAACCCCGCTCGCGCTAACGGGATACGCTGGCGGAGCACCAGTGAAGGGTGATAGATGAGAATGAAAACAGGCCAGTTAGCCCATCATAATGAATTCATCAGGAATTAACCATGATAGTTTCTCGATTTGAATATCAATCAAAATAAAATCAATTAACGGCTATTTGAATGATCAATCAAAATAAATCGAATTAACGCTCAATTTACTCGATAACTGCCAATTGTTTTCAATTATTTTGCACAATATCAATTAAATTCAACAATTAGGATATTTTTAATTCGAATTCCAATGGAAAGATAAAAATAGCAAGGTGAATGACCTCGAACTTGACGAACGATTGTCACTTTAAATAAAAGATTAAAGAGAAAGGTCAGATACACTCTTTTGTATCTTGCTTTTGTTTTTTCGAAAATTTCTCTAATAGGAGCATATTGAATCCTTTAAGAAATTATTGAAAAACAAAAAATAACAATTGTTTATATATATATTGACTTTAATTTAATTTTGACATCTGTCAAAATGGTATCAAGTTATTTCTATTCTTTATTTGATTGCATTGTTAAAATAAAACGCCATTAAAAAATAAAAGATAAGGCACTATACATACTGATGCAACGTGGTTCATTTGATACCTGCAGTTAAGAGGGAATTTAAGTAAAATTAGTTATAAATCTCGTTACTATATAATAGTCTCAGACATAAAATATAATGTATATGTTTATACAAAAGCCTTAGTATGTATCGAGCCTTATAAGACATAACTACAGAATGATCTTATAGCAACTTTAAAAGCTTGTCCACATGGTTCTTTATTGAATATTCGGTTACATCTCCGAGAGGATGTATGGCAATTTGGGTCAATCTTATTATGGTCGCTTCTTTTGTTACTCAGACACATAAAAAGAATAGGTACTCCTTCGTTGCTTATTCAATTTATATATTCTTAATGCCTTTGCAAAAAATGGACATTACATTATATGAAACATTAAATTTGTTATATTTTTTTGTTGTTTATTTTACAAATATAACTGTATTTACAATATAATTATAGAAATAAACAACATATTGTAAATCAAGAATTACAGAGTCGACAATTAATAGATATGCTAATATGAAACATTGGAAGAATTATAAGATACACCTATGCTTTGCCTCATCAAATAGTAGAAGGATATTTCTAAACCAATTCAAACTAAACTTAGGGAATTCATACTCACACCCTAGAATCAAAATGGTCACGATGGTCACAATGCAGTTTCAGAGAAGCTTCCTCCCACGAATGCTCTGATTGTGAAATGAACTTTCTGGCGAGGTTTTCCCTAGAGACTACAGCATGAGGTTCTTCAATAAGGGTGTAATAAAGTTTCTAAAGAATCGACAACGCGCGAGTGACTTTCTTAGTGTTACAGACGTCCATAGGCTATAGTAACCCTGCATACCATCAAACAGGCTGTATACTTCTTTGCTATCGTAGTAGTATAAAAAAAAACAGCTAGGGGTCCTAAATTATCCCAGTTGTACCAAATAATAATATAGTTAATTTATAGACTGTTAATTTAAACATAATACTTAACTATTCGAAAAATCTTGTATCTTTGTAGTAAAGGGTGTGTATGTATATTATAATCCCAGAGAAGGGATATTTGAACTGCTCGAGTATTTACTTGAAAATTATATATGCAAATAAAGCCAGGCGACCAAGATAAGCTAGTAAATTTTGCATTGTAATAAGGTTGAAACGAGAGACCTAATCTTAGAATATTTACGTCATACAAATAAGATTATGAGGACAATAATTATGAATGTTTGACGGTTTCGGTTTTGCTGGCTTAACAATTATTTAATTCTGCTAACATTATTATGTGTGCTACTTACATTATATAGATAGAGCATCGAGTCTCAAAAACGGGTCAATTTGTTGTCAGCCAATTGTCAAATTAGCTGACTCGTTTTTTATTAGTGTACTTTAAATTTACACAGATAATGTATCTTGACGTATCAATATTTAAATATTTAATAAATAAAATGAGTATTTACGCATTAAAAAGATGCAGAAATTATAAAAGAAAATAAATAAAGAAGTTATAGAAGTCATAAGTATTTAACACGCAAAATTGTATGAAAGTTTACCTGCTTTTCTCGAATCATTTGTATGGAGACACTATCTATGTAATCTAAGCTGTGCTACTACCAATATTTGAAGATTGACTACTATTATTAGTAGATTGACTACTGTTATTTCTTCAACCTTCCATACTAGTTATCAATCTCCGACCGTCATCCAGTCCACGCACCCCATATGCGTTTAGTTCCCTTTTGCTAATAATTAAAGACAATGTGGACAAGCTTCTTTTTTCAAAGTTTTCAAAACCCTTTATAGGATACTTTGTATATAAATTCGATCACAAGCGTATAATCGGAGCTAAGTACAACGCAATACTTCATTTAGTGACAAATAAAGGAATTGATAGTAGTTCTTTAGTCAATGGGTTATGTGATCTTAGTAGTACGTTCGTTAGTCTTACCTTATCTTAGTGTCATTGTCATCACGTGATTTCGGTAAGAGAAGTTCATATAATGAATAATAATGATAAAAAAAATCATTGTCATCATTAGCAGCGTTGACCTTCGTATTTGAATAATTAATTCTTTTAACACTAAACTTGACTATTATAGTCAGGTAATGACAAAAAAGACATATATTAATCAATAAATAATATTAATTTTCCTTTATACAAAATGTCAAAATATAATTAAGACGAAACTATTTAAGTATATTTTGACTACTTTTGTAAGGATCTTTGCAACAATGCATTGGATCTCTTATCAAAAAAAAAGAAATACAAATACACCACAGAACAAAAAATAGTGGAATACGTGACATTATCTATATAAATTATTAAATTTAAATAAAATGTAAAATTTAATTATTTATTTTTGTTTTTTTTTTTACAAATTCAAATAACAATTTCAAACTAAGAAGACGTAATAAACTAAATTGTTAATCTTTTTAAAACACATAGTATTTATATAACACAAATTAATTTTTTATACAACTATAACACTACTACACGAATAACATTAAACCATAGAAAATACAATACGAATATTATAAGAGAATACATGTAAAATTATCAGCCAAGATCATATTGCTATATTAAAAATTAAAATTATTTTAATAGGTACACTTTTTTTAGGTTGGTAACACTTACATCATTTTTTTTGTTCTGTGCCAGTATTAGTATAAAAAATATAACAGCGAAATATTACTCTCTTTATCAAAATTATTTTAAATCGCATTAGACGAAAATGGTAAAGTGTAATTTCTAAATTACATTAATTGTACAGTTGTAATAATAATTCTGATTTAGATAATTATCATACGTATTCTTATGTATCTTACAAAATGAACACAAAAACAAAAAAATGTATTTTAAATTCAGAATTACAATAAGTCAAAATTTTGTAAGATACTATTTTTTTTTTTTACATAAAACAACCGACTTCATTAATGAAACTAATACGGGACCATCTTGAAAGTGGACATTATCAATGAAGTGAATCATGCGAATCGGTTCGTAAATTTGCGAGGAATCGGTGTACTCGTACATCCATAAAAACCTTTTTTGAAGTCGGTTAAAACGTGCGTAATGTTAACTTAGATTATTATATATTTGATCCTAAACAAAAGTTGCTCATTCACATCTTAAAATTTTGCATGTTCTAGTCATTTCATTTAATTATTAAGTAGTAAATTAAATAAACTTTCATTAATGACCAATAGCGTGTTAAAAAAAATATTTTATTAAAATTAATAAGGATTTTAAACTAATTAGATGCAATTTTGAATTTAGTAAGTTTTAGTGCGTTAATGACTTAGTCTTGTTTAAAATCGTATATCTTTAATAAATTGAAATTTAAATAGCAATAAAGTATTGTTAAAATTAAAGTTTTAAACATAAGCACTCTTCCAGTGAAGCACAGGTGAAAATGGAACATAATTTAATATTTGTATATAACTTTCCAAAGCAAACTTTGTTACGAAGTTGCCATTACACAACGTATCATAATGTAGTGCTCCGATTATGGATTTAAATTTTAATTGGGTGATTGTATGCATATGAAATTACTTAGATACATATTTATCCTGTTTTGATACTGGCAATATATTGTACTGTATTTACAACAGTTGTAACAAAACAAAATTTTAAATAACTCCAAATACATCTCTAAAATTAAGATTTTAAATTAGAGTTTTGCGAAATTATTAGGATACGTTTAGATCACTTAGAAACAAAATTAAATCGACTCAAATGTATTATTAATTTAGTTCATATTTCTTTACATTATCTAAATTGAAATTTTAATTTTGGAGATAGAAATAAATGAGGACGAATCGACCTCATTTATTTATGTTATGAAATATCAAAATTACTCCATCATATCAATGGCATTATCTAATTGTAGTAATTTATCACATAACCAAACTCAAAAGCAAAATTTTGTTTTGTATGAGTTCTTATTTGCAAATAAATATTCTTAGTCTTACCTATAATTATTCGATTACATTTGTCACCTCAATCTAGTTTGCAGCTTTTTAATACAAAGAAGATATAAAAATTTTAATTAAAAAAAATAAATTATTATTCTTACAAAAAAAAAATTCTCAGATAAATATTTTTTTTTGTAATAATTATTATTACTTTTTGATTTTGTCTTTATTTTAAAATACGTACAAAAACAGTGAAATTGTTACAGGTAATGGTGTAATGGCAAACTCTCGAGTCTTGATACTAATAAAGTGTTGAAAAATCCAAAAGGTAAAATGTACCGAATAAATGCTCGAAATGAAGGAAAGACCTAAGTGCCAAATGCGTCGTTAAATCTTGTAAACGTCTCTGTATAAGTAATTTATATTTATGTAAATATACTAGTTAATTAAGCATTCATTAAAACATTCGTAGTATTTAATTGTTCATATAGAACATTGTTTGTGCATGGACAAATTTGAATTTATTTAATTTTCGCTTATCTGAATTAAGTATCTGAATTATCTGAAGTAAGACTTGAAAAAGAATTAGATGCGTCTAGTTTAAAAAAAAA